CGACAAAACACCATGCCCTAATACATGTAAGTGTTGATGTAGTTTGATGATTTCATGCACATTAAATTAGCAAATCACCTCATTTTGTGGTATTTTAAAGAATTGCTGTATGATGTATATTTTGTAAGATTTTTGTTAGGTTTGACCGTACAAATTAGGCTCCTCCCCCTTTTTGTAACATTTTGTAACTGCGTAAAAAGCACACGTTTAAAATCCATATTTTCTTTAAGCAAGTTGTTTTTACTTCCTACAATAATGTACTACCATTTCGTTGCCATAATGATTTCAGATGTAAATATGTACATTTTTATTATTCATAAGTCAAACCGTTATCAAACGATTGACCACTAGTTTCATGATCCTGACTTCTCTTGCTTTTTTTACCGGGTTCGATGCCATCTGACATTCTAGAACTTTCAATCAAGAGTGAGATCAGATATAAAAGGGAAGGGTTTTGCTCATTTGGTTTTTTTTAATCAGTAATCAGAACTTCATGCAGTTGAACAACCTAACTTGACACTCAAATAAAAAAAACATTGAATAATTTACCGGGCATTTCTTTTCACTACAATTATAGTGATCATTGTTAACTCTTTATTTTTTAATCATTAATCGAAAAAAAAGTTCAGTTATTATTTCTTTTCCTGTAGGAGTATGGTACTCGCCAAAATATGGTACTTGCCCTCGGCCTGATGAATCAGACTTTCTACAAATGGGACCCACTTGCGATTTTGACTTGAAATGTCACGGGTCACAGAAATGTTGTTCTAATTCTCTCTATGGACGGAGATGTCAAATTCCAGTTGAATTTCAAAAACCCGGTAGATGCAATTCATTTCTCATGATGTGTCCTCTCACATCACTAACTTATGCATGCAATGATGACACCCTTTGTCCTGGAAGCTGGAAATGCTGTAGAAGATTTTCATCTGGTCAACTTGATACTTGTACTTTCAACAGCGAGATTTCTGCTGGCTTCGGTGGTGTAGATGGTTCGTATGGTCCTGTAGGCGGTTCGAATGGTCCTGTTGGCGGTTCGAATGGTCCTGTAGGCGGTTCAGGTGTAGTAAGTCCTCTCCTTCCAGTATATCCTCGAGGCACCTCCAGGAAAAGATATTGAATATGTGCTCCTCATTTCTCATCTTTGACAAATTAAAAAAAATATATGTTGCAAATAGATTATTCTCTATCTTATTTTATGTTATTCTCTTTATATGATTTAAAGCAATTTGAGCTGCATTTTTGAGATTTTTATTTTGCTGTCAAAACATGCTAATATGATATCTTTGTATCTAGTTAAAAACCTTGATGATCATTTTGACTCAAAAAGTATTATAAATTGTTTTAGAATAAAGATTTCTTTACAATCAAATGTATAGTATTATGTAGGAAATCATTATTGCACAGGACGAAAATAATCAAATTCTGCTTCAATCAAAATTTAAAAATAGTTCTTCCATTTAAAATATGAACAACTAATCCTAACAAACACTCTGTTCCTTTCATTGAAATCGTTTATTTTAATTTTCCCACAAAAACATCCACCATCTAAACTGCAGCTTATATTGCTTTAAAGATGCTTAAGACACAGATTTGAATTTAACATTTTCTCAAATTTTCTGTATAATTTCATGACAAATATATAGCTATAGAATTACATACGAAAATATTAACAAAATCTGTATTTTTCTGGAATATTTTGAAAATTCGAGTTGCTTGGCGCGTTTGCTAGACACGTCCTTGCACTTTCACAAATTTAAACTTCATCCCTACTACTTGAGAAAAGTAGCAATTTTGTTGTGTACTAATGAAAAATATTAAAACCCAAATCCTGAAATGTAGTGTAGAAATGACGAAATCAATTCATTTTCACCAGTATTGTCAGTCCGTGCCCTCTGGTGTGTTCAGAGTTTAACAATTGAACACACAGATAAACAACATCAGAACTCGTGTCCTGCTTGCAAACGCCTTTTACGTTTCACAGGGGCATTCAATCAATCTGTTAAACTCTGTAAACAACTACACAACACCAAGCAAGGTCTAACATAATTTAGGTAAGTGGGTTTTTCTTTCACACAATTTTACCCTGAATTTTCTGGATTATTGATGCATTATCATTCATTAATACACAACAAAATTGCTACTTTTCTTTCGTACTAAAGATGAAATTAAAATTTGTGAAGAAGAAAGAATGTGTTAATCAAACGACTCCCAAAATTCGAAGTTTCAATAATTTTCAGATAAAATAAGTTTTTAATTTGATTGCCTTGTGAAATGCTATAGCAACACATAGGTCGTGAAATGTTAAGAACATTTTAGATTAGATTTTATTTACATGATATACATGTATGTGCGTATGCACCTCTATAAATACAAAGAGACATTTCTTTATGGAGTATAACTGTTGTCCGTCTGTTCATCTCTTTCCACTTATTTTTTCTATGATCGACTTTTCTTCAAGAAACACTGGTGTAATAGTTGTATGTTGAATATTTGTATTAATAAAAGCCCTGGACCTTATCAACCAGAAATAACTACTGTGTACAGGGAAATTGCCGCCCTAGTTTTATTTTCGCCCCTTTCGCCCAACTCAGAGACAAATCAATAACTTATGCATGCAATGATGACACCCTTTGTCCTGGAAACGGGAAATGCTGTAGAAGATTTTCATCTGGTGAACTTGATACTTGTACTTTCAACAGCGAGATTTCTGCTGGCTTCAGTGGTGTAGATGGTTCGTATGCAATCGCATTATCTCGGGTCTTTCCGTCAGAGGTCGGAAAAACAACCTCGAATGTTTTAACATCACTGGATGTTTAAAATTTATACATCTTCCTGTTTATTCAAATATAGGATAGATGGAGATAGAAGTTCCTTCTATGGTATATTTTAGGTAATATCATTGCATTGAATGAAGTTGAACTCCATATTCCACATATGAAAGGTCTCCGTGCATTTATTTCAAAGATCGTGAAAAAGGGGAGTTGTAATGGCGTCTTCCTCGTACATTCGAGGTCGTTTTTCCGCTAGTCGAAAAGGCCCGAGAAGTTGCGATTGGGTTCGTATGGTCCTGTAGACGGTTTAAATGGTCCTGTAGGCGTTCAAATGGTCTTGTAGGCGGTTCAGGTGTACTAACTCATCTGCTTCCAGTACTTCCTCGGGGTTCCTTCAATAAAAGATATTGAATAAATTATGTTTCTTTCATTTCTCATCTCTGACAGAATAAAAAAAATATCTGTTGCAAATAGATTATTCTTTGTTTATTTTTTGTTATTTTCTTTATATGATTTAAAACAATTTGAGCTGCATTTTAGAGATTGTTTTTTTTGCTGTCAAAACATGCTATTATGATAACTTTGTATATAGTTAAAAACCTTGATGCTCATTTAGACTCAAAAAAGTATTATGAATTGTTTAAAAGAAAGGTTTTTTTTTACAATCAAATGTATAGTATTATTATTATTGTGTAGGAAATCATTATTGCACAGGACCAAAATAATCAAATTCTGCTCCAATCAAAACTTAAGAGCCAGTCTGCGAGATAACCATGCAAAATTTTAAAAATCGTCCAAATGGAAGGTTGCAACTTGGTAGTTCTTAGTGGCTTAAAATTTTCTACATAGAGGTAGAAAATGCCGAACCCTGCATCTATTTTTAGTAACAGCTCATTTGCATATTTGTCGAAAATCACACAAAATTTAATGGAAAATGTATACAAATTGATCAAGTCAAAAAGTTAGCTTTTGTCATCAGTTTATTTTCAAATTTTCTTTTATTTTCAAAGTCATGGACCATTTAACACAATTAATGAGGAAAAACTTAATTCAAATGAATATTTTATTTTTTATACATCTATTTATAGATCCTAAATGAATGAGTATGATTTTTTAGCCATTTTTAGATGCTCGTTTCTCTCAATACCAAGGTTGAAATTAAACTAAATTAATTTTTACTTTAAGAATGATCTAAGGTCTACTTTGTATTAAAATATTGAGCTTGGGAAATAATATCTACATGTTGTAAATTAACTTTGAAATACCATATTTTGCTACAATTTCACATATTTTAGATAACAGTCTTTTACCATATTTTTGGATTATTTCTATGGTATTTAAATGAAAAAGAAAGATTCTTAATCTAATATGTTTTTTAGAAGAGGGATAACTGATTTGGATACTTCATATAACTTTCTATTGCTTATTTTAGCCCCTTGTTACCAATTTGCTGGAGTTAAATTGTTATCTCCTCTTGTTAGAACTCTTTAGTATTATTGGATAAAAAGTGGCAGGTATGTCAACATGGAAAAAGGAAAGTCATTGTATGATGATTTTTTCTTCACCTAGGGAGTTGCTGTGGAGCATTATTGCACTACAAAAGAGGGAAAACTTATTTTAAGATATTTGAATGTAAGAAAGAGACAACTACTTAGCTTGAATATACAAATAGCAGGCCCATCAGAAGCAATTTCAGTGTGGAGGGGGGACAACCTACATCATCAACTGCCACGAATTCCACAGAAAGTAAAAAAAAAAAAACCATCAGATGTTTTTATTTCATTTGGGGCATATACATGTAGTAGCTATGTTTTCTATAGAGATCTGTCCTCGGGGAATCTACATGTATATCATTGTAAGTATTATTTAGAGAACGAGACAGGTTCTGTATCGCAGATACAAATTTGGGGGGCGGAGACGAGTGCGAAGCACGAGTCTCCGCCCCCCAAATTTGTATCTACGATACAGAACCTTTCGAGTTCTCTAAATGATTTGTGACACGATCCAATCAAAATCAGCTCAATGAAAATCAGCTCCTCCCATAATGTAAATAAGATGTCATGTATATTTCATTTCTTTCTGAATCTTTGGTAAATCTTCAAAAAGTTAATTCCCATGCCAATTAGGCTTCCATGTAAATTTCACTGTATCCGTAGACAGCGTGAGATTTCTAGAAATTTCTAAAGTTACTTTGTCATATTAGTTTTGGAAACGACGCATAGAAGGATGGACGTAGATACTTTTAAAAAACTTGACTTTTTAACTGATGAAGTTGACGATTTAACTTTATCACAGATCTGTGCAGATATGGAAACGGAATACTATGTATTTGAGGGCATTCAAAATCTCAGTTTTTCTGAAAATTTTGATTTCGATGCAAATGAAGGTCTTGAGGAAAGCGGTTTGAATTCAATGGAGTTTGATATCGGGGATTTGAGCTCTTTAATGGAAACCGAATGTGAAGTAGAAAAAGAACTGAAAGAGAGCACTAGGTTTGGACCAGTCGTCAATGATGAAGATTTGAAATCACTTGTTGAAAATCAGGAAAATAAAAATACGAAGAGCAACACAAAATGGGCTGTTAACGTTTTTTCGAAAGTTGGCGCGAGCAGAGAGCTGGGGATATTATCGAGCTTCACTTGATGGATACGAAAACAATGAACCATTGGCTAGAGCATTTTATCGTGGAAGCGCGCAAGAAAGACGGGGCTGAATATCCTCCAAAACTCTCTATCTCATTTTATGTGGCCTTTTGAGGCACTTGAGAAAAAAGGTGTGTACGATAAAAATTTTTTAGATGAGAAGGAACTAGCTTTTGTCGGGCTAAGAAAAGTTTTAGACGCGAAAATGAAATATCTCGTTGATAAAGGCATGGGATGCGAGATCCGCCAAGCTGATCCTATATGGCCCGAAGATGAGGAGAAATTGTGGCAAGAAAATGTTTTTGGGAAAGAAAACAGTGAACAATTACAACACACGATGTTTTTTTATTCATGTAAATTGTTTGGTTTGAGGGCCTGCAATGAGCACCACAAATTGCAATGTGAACAATTTTCCATTGGAAACGATACCCATGGACAGTTTATTCAATTTATTGGTAGAACATCAAAAACCTACAAGGGCGGTTTGGGTCAGATGAATTTACAGACAAAGAATCTGAAGCATTACTGTGAGCCTGGTAAGTAAAACTCGTATATATACATATAAACTTATATGGATACATTAAGACACTAATTTAAATTTAGGTTTTGCGAAATGGGGGAGGGGGGCATTACTGTATGAGCCTTTTTAGTAAATAGTTATGTACGAGATCTGCATGTAGCAGATTGTAATATTTATGTGGATATTTTAATATTAGCATGTAGATGTAAGCGGTGATTATCTAATTGCTCATATAATTTACAGGTGATCTTTGCTTAGCAGAATATTTCCAGATATACCTTAATGCGTTAGATGGCGCAGGGCCATTTTATCGGCGTCCTCTTCCCGGAACCTCCGAAAAGCCTGTGCGTTACGGGACACAGGTTGTGGGCATAAACAAACTGAAAACGTTTATGAAGACAATATCGCAAAAAGGAGGACTACAAGGGAATTACACCAACCACAGCGGAAAGAAAACGTGTGCTATGCAGTTGTATATAGGTGGTGTACCCGAGGCAGAAATCATGAATGTTACTGGTCATAGATCGGAGCAAGGCGTAAGAAAATACATCAAAAGTAATGTACAAATGAAAAAAAGTATTTCTAAAATCTTGGATCCGCCCATAAAACAGGAATCTCAGGAAGCGTCTTCCGGTCAGCCTACTGGTAGTAAAAGAACGCTGTCTCCATGTAATACAGATCGTTCTGAAGGCGACACAAAAAAATTGTGCAGTGAAAGTTATCGTGCTCTGCGGGATTTAACAAGCACGGCATCAGTGTTCCAAAATTGCCATTTCAACTTTTCTTTGGATCAAATTAAATGATATATGTATGATTTTGTGCATCAGATAAAAGTGAATTAGGGCATAGAGAAGTGTTGTACAATATATTGGAAAGCGTTTTTTTTTTAATTCGTTTCGTTTGGATAAAAGTTACTGGCCAAATGTGAATGGAATAATTATCTTGAATTCATAAGAGTAAAGGTTTTACTTTTTTCAGGAAATAATTTTTTTTAATTCCAAACAGGAAAAAAAATATGATCAATTGATTTTGTTAATTTGAAAATTTTTGATCAATTAAAATACTGAAATTGAATCAGATTTATTTTTAGACCGTGCTGTATTTTAGATACAGAATAGTTGGGAAATACAATACGGTATACAGGGTAAATACAGAACGGAAAGTAGCTCCGCCCACCACAGTCCCGTTCTGTATTGCTAATACAGAACAGTAAACTTCAAAGAAAAACATCGCTATCGTGTCACAATTAACCGTTACAAAATTTTTCCTAACAAGTACTGTACAATTGAATAGGAAATTAAATCAAATAATAACAGAATATTTTTAATCAAAATATACATTTGATATTTTGTTTAAGGCACCAGGCCCCCGTTCAAGTTCAAGATCATTTTATTCACTCAAACCATTTCAGGTACATGAGGACAATGAAGAATATTTACAACATATAAATGCAGGTCAGAGGTACAAGTATATGATACATAATCAGAATATAAAAAGGAAAAGAAAAACACATATGAAACAGGTATTAATGAAATAAGCAAGGGGAAAATCGTGGAGGACTGACTAACTAAAATCATATATTTTCAATATAAACGTACGTAGTTTTCTTATTGTCTTAGCAACTTGATTTGTCATCAGTTGAGAAAATATAAGAATACAAACAGGTATTTGATTGCATACTTTCAAAAAATAATTGGTAATTTCAATCTACATGTAAATTGTTTACGTTTCATACATTCCTAGGAATATTTTTAATTTTACATTAATTTAATTTTACATTACATATTTTAAACTACTGTGTTACGCAACATTCATATATTGATAAAGTCAGATCTCCCATTCAAAATCATCAGCTCAAAAGGAGATCATCAGCTCAAAAGGAGATGCCACTGATTTAGGTACCCACCGATATAAGACCCTCCACGATAAATATTGGCAAAATTATTTGGGGGAGGGTACTACACCCCCCCCCCCAAGAAAATATGAGTCGTTACTGCAGCCAAAACTTTGCCAGTTTGCAGTACAAAGTGGTAAAAATTTAAAACCGGCTACAAACATGATAAAAGACTGGATTCATATTCATTCAAATTAGGGGGGGAGGGGGGCTTTTAAATTTTGTCAAAATTATTTCCAAAACATTATTAATAAAATTGTATAAGGCTTTGTAAATCAAAATTCGATACTTTTGCTGAATAACCATAATGTTATTATTAATACCATTGCAGAGTGAGATAAATTGTTTTTTAAAAATATTTTATGTATCCAATGAAAACAGTTGTGGGAGGGAGCGTATTAAATTTACGAGTGTATCTGGTACCCAATCGTTTAACTCCATCCACTTCCCCACAATTTACATACTAATATTGAAATGGATAAAATAATGAAAAATGATAAGGGTTCTGGAGGGGTGTTGCTAAAATGAGGAACGGAAAACAGAACGGAAAACGTATTATATTTTTTATTTTAGCTTAAATCACTTTACACAAATTTATGAACGATACTAAGTATGTATTTTATAAATTCAGTCCCCCATTATTTAAATCAAGTTGATTGATTCGTGTTCATAAAATCTCTAATTCACGAAAATCGGAGTTATAGCAATGACGTAGAATCGATTTTGAAAGGGTCGGGGGGGGGGGGGGGATTAAACTTACCAGAAAAGAATTTGCCAAGCGAAAACAGAAGACAATTGTTTGATTTGGGAGGTGGGATAAGAGTAAACTCCAGCATCTTTCATTTTCTTAAGCTCCTTTATGGAGTATTTTGTATAATATCTCCTGTCAGTATTTTTATAAGATTGTACCAATTTAAAATTGGCAGAAAGCAAACAACTTACTGAAGGCTCAAATTTCATATGTTCAAGTCTCAAAATTTATATGAATGATACTGAAAAAGAGTCCGTTTGAATTTAAATACTTGTAATTTCCCTTTTATTAATTAAAAAAGAAACTTACTTACAAAATGTAAGGAACATGAATATTCATATGGTTGTTGAAAAATTGCAAGTAGGCCAATACAATTGATAAAATTATGTTGTTTTTTTTTCATTTCTAAACAATCGGCAATATGCTAATCCTCATATTAGGGGTTATCTCTGACAATTTAGTTTAATTTAATTTTCAATTTTAATATTTTTCAATCTTAATTATTAATTCAAAGAAAATTGTTACATGTTTCAATATCTAACATCAATTGTTTATAATTAAAGTTCTATATTTGACTTTGTTACCCATTTGAGTTTGAGCATTTTTTTTCGAACATTGGTAATTTGTAAATTCCCATATCTCAATTATTTATTTTTTCCCAAGCTCAATATTTTTCAAAGATAATGTTTAGAGTTATATTTGTACAATAATATCAAAAAAAAAATTAATTTCAAAGATTGGTCTTGGAAGATTTGGGGAATTAAATTTGTAATACTTTTGGCAGTTCTTGAAAATTGGCATCATGCCAATTTTCAAGAGTTGTCTACCCTTTGATATATTGCATATTTGATCATGATAAATGTCAAATTTGAAAGAACACAGTCTTATGTTTCTTAAAAATACCTTAATGGAAATGGAAGTTTAATTTTGAGTTAAATAAATCAAATGTGAATTTTACCATTTTTTTAAAGTTTTTAAGTGCATCTGCACTTAAATGTGCAAAAAGGAGGTGGCGCTGCCTACGGCTGCCATGTTGAAGGATGGGAATTTTTTTGGTCATTTTTTGATAACATATTATAAAGTCAAACTACCCACCAAATTACATTAAGATATGACAACCTTCGATTTGGACGGTTCTGCATGGTTTTCTCGCGGACTGACTCTTTAAAGTAGTTCTTCCATTGGAAATATGAACATTAAATGCTAACAAACACCCTGTTTCTTTCATTGAAATCATTTATTTTAATTTTCCAACAAAAACTTCCACCATAAAAAGTGTAGCTCATTTTGCTTTAAAGATGCTTAGACATTGATTTGAATTTAGCATTTTCTAACTTTTTCTGTATAATTTCATGAGAAACATACAGCTTTAGCATTTCAAACAAAAATATAAACAAAATCTATATTTTTCTGGAAGATGTTGAAAATTCGAATTATTTGGCGTGTTTGATACACGTAGACACACCCTTGCACTTTCACTTATTTAAACTTCATCCCTAGTACTACCTTAGTGCCAGGCACATTACTGGAAAAAGAAGAAGAAAAAGTAGCAATTTTGTTGTGTATAATGAAAGTCAGAAATTCAGAGTTTAACAATTGAACACACAGATAAATAACAACAGAACTCGTGTTCTGTTTGCGGACGCAGTATACGTTTCACAAGGGCATTCAATTTGTTAAAATCTGTACATAACTACACAACACAATGCAAGGGCTAACATAGTTTTATTAAGTGAGTTTTTCTTTCATACAATTTTACTCTGAATTTCTGGATTATTGTTGTATTATCATTCATTAATACACAACAAAATTGCTTCTATTCTTTAGTATTAAGGA